GCAGGCAGGCAGGAAGGCAGGTAGAGAGGCAGGCAGGCAGAGAGGGAGGGTGGCAGAGTGGGAGGCAGGAAGAGAGGGAGGGTGGCAGAGTGGGAGGCAGGAAGAGAGGGGGAGGTATCCGTACTCCACTCTTCCTCTCCACCGACCACCTGTCTACCTGTCTAAATTACTTGGAGTGTAAATGAGAGAGTCCAATGTCTAAATTACTTGCAGTCTAGCGTAGAGAGTCCAAATATACATGTACTCTGAGAACTTGATTACATGTACTCTTAGATCTGTCTCTGAATCACTGAGAAACAACTCGAGTCCTGCTGCAACATTACGTGAGAAATATTTCACAGTCTAATACTTGAGAAACACTTGAATTCCTCTTCAAAAATAACATTGAAAGAACCGCTTTAATGTGGAGAACAATGAACAGTAGAACAGAGAGAGAGAGAGTGTGTGTGTGTGTGTGTGACTCGGGAGGTAAGATAGGTGTTCTCATGGCTTCATAAATACGTCCACTGGTTGATTACAATGATCCCACGTTCCGATTTGTTCCAATAACGCGCCTCTGTGTTCTTTTATCCCGTGTACAGACGTAACTCTTCCACGGAGTCCTCGGTCCTTTTATCTCTGTGTGCGCCAAGTACTTACGAGGAAATATGACTTACTTACAAATTACTTAATGCTTAGATACTTATACGATTTACTTAATACTTAGATACTTACACGACTTTCACATTATACTTACAATATCTTACTGTTTTAAATGAGCAACAAGAAATATTATGACTTACAATACAAATTACTAAAATACGACTTACTTATAACACAAATTACTTAACCATAACTTATCAACATTACAAATTACTTAATACTTTAGGACGTCTTAGTAAATTAAATAGCCAGAGAGGTTGTAACACTGAGGCTGGAATTGAATGAGTTTTTGACTATGCATCTCCTGAACTAATTGAAGCGTGTCTTGTGAGGGTGTGTGGTGTGGAGGGTGGAGGGGGAAGTGTGTGGGGTGAGGGGGGTGGAGTGAGGGGTGTGTGAGGTGAGGGGTGTGGAGTGAGGGGTGTGTGAGGGTGAGGGTGTGGAGGGTGGGGTGTGTAGGATGAGGGGTAGAGGACGTGTGGGGTGAGGGTGTGTGGGGGTGAGGGTGTGTGGGGGTGGGGTGTGAGGGGGGGGGTGTGTGGGGGTGGGGTGTGAGGGGGCAGGGTGTGTGGTGGTGTGTGTAGGGTGAGGGGGGGTGAGGGACGTGGGGGTGAGGGAGTGTGTGTGTGGTGAGGGTGTGTATGGTGGGGATGTGTGGGTGAGGGGTGTGGGGGTGAGGTGTGTGAGGGTGGGTGGGGGTGTGAGGGGTGAGAGGGTAGGGTGTGAGGGGTGGGGGGTGTGAGGGTGAGGGTGTGAGGGTGGGGGGTGTGAGGGGTGAGGTGTGAGGGGGTGAGAGGGTGGGGGTGTGAGGGGGTGAGTGGGGTGGAGGACTAGTACACGGGTGATAAAATTCTGTTTATTGTCTCGAGCTTGGAAATAAAATCCCTCACACGTTAAGAACATCCATAAGTCATGTCAGAAAGGCGGGCAGGTGAATGTGTGTTATGTAGCAGACAGGTGTGTACGTGCTGAGACACAATAAGTGATACGCTTGTACGTGGCGAGCAAATAACACCGTACGTGGCAAGCAAGAAAGAACGCACTGTACATAGCAAGAAAGAAACACCTTACATGGCCGCAAGCAACACTGTACGTAGCGAGTAAACAAAATAAACAACACCGTACGTGGAAAGTAAGAGAGCAACACTGTACGTGGCATGCGAGCAACATTGTACGTGGCAAGCAAGCAACGCAACACCGGACATTAATGACCGGCACATCGGCCCTCTAGCGGACCCGCCGGCAGGACCAGCAACAAGCACACGTCCGTAACCCCACAGATGGCCGCGACTTGGGCTACCGTCACCACCCACCAACCCGTTATCTTACACCAGATGCTCCCTTCACATAATTAAGCTATTTGTCAATATTCTAACTCTTATAACAAACTTCTAAAACAACACCGATACACTAAAAAACAGGATTATACATTAACTCGACAGATGGTTGAGAATATTAACTGATCTCTTCATTATTAACGTCCTAAGATGACTAATCCACTCCAGATAATTCACATAAATTATTCTAATGACTTTAACTAATTAATAACAAATTTCTATGTCCATTTCGATATAATTTTAGAGAAGGTGTTTATTAAGGTGATCGATTAGAGTCAATGAGTTAATTTATCAGGTGAGGTGGAGTACGGACGCGGGGTCGAAGTCATGGCCAGGTGGAGGGTACAGGAGGGCAGGGTGGCTATTGTTATGGTAATGGGCCAAACTGCCACGCTCGCTCCCAACACACGCTCCCACTCCCTCCCTCCCTCCCCCAGAGTATCCACCGCCGGCTGCCATGGTCTCCTACGTCTCCAGTGCCACCCCAGTTAGGATGGAGACCGAGGGAGGAGGTCAAGTGAGGTGCAATGTGGCCGAGGGTTGTTTCCCCAAGCACCAGGGAGGAGACCATCCCATTAGACTCCTCCCCGCCCGTCTCACCTCCCCTTGACCCTGTACCCCTTCCCCCTGGCTTCCTCATGCCGTTCTCCCCCTGCCCTCACCCCCCTCTCCCCGTCACTACCCCAAGTAAAGTCTTCCCCATCATAACTACAGGTAAATCCCCCCTCCTCCTTCCTTAATCACAGGTGTGCCCCTTCGCTCATCCCCCGACAGGTGACCCTCCCCCCCATACACCTGCGCCCATCCATCCACGCACACAAGCACAACCAACAACCTGGGTATGTAAGTAAGTATTAATATTCACTATATATACCCGGACAATCAGCCATGAAGCACCGAGGCGCTCTAACTGCTCTTGATTTGGTTTTTCTTTTGGCTTATTAAACCTTTGAGGGCGATGGTTTAAGCTATCAACCTCCAAGAGTTAATATTCCCGATGCTAATTAAACCAATATCCTTAACTAAACCCACGACCTTAAATAAAAACCATCACCCATAATTAAACCCACGACCTTAAATAAAAACCATCACCCATAATTAAACCCACGACCTTAAATAAAAACCATCACCCTTAATTAAACCATCGACCTTAAATAATGAAACCATCATGCTATAAGTGTTAAACCAAAGCCCTAAGAGTCTTAATCACCTTGTGTCCATAACGAGAAGCTGTACAAACACAACACACACAGACGACACCACAACACACACGTAGATCTCAGCTCATCACGCCTCAACCCACCTTCCTGCACCCACTACCCACCTCCTTGTACCCACCACCCACCTTCATGTACCGTCAACCCACCTACACATCTCTTCCAGTCTTCTCTTATTATCCCACCACTACCACCATCACCACCACCACCACCACCACTACTACCACCGTCACCACCACCACTACTACTACCACCATCACCACCACATAAACGCAAAGAATTTCACTACCACTCGTCTCCTTCCACAAAACCATCTCTCTTTCTCTCTCTCTCTGACCCTCCCTGACATAATTCAGTCGACAGCCACTCACCTCCTCAATGACTCCCTTCCCCCCCTTTCCCCTTCCCCCCTCCTTACATTATTCCTCCTGTATCTCGGTAGTCAATGAACCGATGAAATTCACACAAACAACCAGCTCACTACTCCACTGCTGGCTTGTCAACACGCTGCTGAGACATCATTCATGAGGGCGTGTCCTCCTCTCTCATAGTGTGTAGTATTCCTCACTCACACTCCTCCTCCCTCCTCCTTGTCATGGTAGAGCCCTCCTCCCCCTCCTCTTCCTGGTCCTCCTCCTTGTTATGGTAGAGCTCTTATTCTTCTCCTTCTCCTCCTAGTTCTCTTTCTCCTCCTCTTTCTCAAAGGTAAGATCTGCTCGAGTAAAGGTCAGAGAGTCTGCTGAGGGGAGATGTAACAGCAGGCACAGCACAGGGTGAGTGGTGAGGTGTATAAACTGGGACCATTATGTGTGATGGGTGATCAGTAACTCCCAGGGCCCAGACACTCCCACTGCTACCCCATCACTGCAACACCACTGCTACTACCCCAATCATCACCCCTATCACTATCACCACCACTGCTACTACACCTACTATTACCACTAACCCCACCATCATTATTACCATTCCTACCATTACCATATATACTACTATCATTCTCACCAACCTTTTTATCACCATCCCCACCATCAAAACCACACACGTTACCTTCCCCATCACCACTAACCCCATTCCTCACCATTATCTCCACAACCACAACTAACCCCCATTCCTACTACCATTCCAATCCCTACCACCATTACCAGTGACCCCTTCTGTGTTCATGACCCCACTACCTGTGCTAGGCTTTAAAACAACACGATCTTTTCTGCTCTCCATCCCACTCCCTGTGCTGTGCTGAATTTGCCCTGACCTGATCTCCCCGCCCTGAAAAATGCAACCTCGGCTCCCCTCTCACCCCTCCCCTCCCCTCTCTCCCCTCCCCCTCTCACAACCCGGGTCAGGGGAGCGTTTAGCATGGCGGTCATTACCACACTGGAGAATAAATTTAATTTATGATCACCTGACAAAATAAATGATGAATGATGAGCCGCGAAAATTCTTCACAGATCCCGAGCCGGAGGAGGAAGAGATGGTGGAAAAGGTGGTGGAGGTTAAGGTGGTGATGGTGCAGAAGAGACGTCAAACTTACGGCAAAGGAGGACGTCAAAACACGCCAAAGGACGTCAAACCCAAGAGAGGAGGTGGACGTCAAACTATACTGAGACATGTCAAACCTATGTATACGACAGGGTAGAGGAGGGGCTGTTAAACCCCGTCAAGGGATGTCAAACACACGACAAGAAGACAAGGCAAGGCAAGGCAAGGCAAGGAAACGTCAAAGCCATACCAAGAGACGTCGAATCCACGGTAGGACGACGTCAGATCAAAAAGAAACCCCCAAAAAACAGTGGTGGGAACTTACCGTCACAGCTCTGTTTCTCGATGTTGGCCTGGTACCCTGGGAGACAGTCACACCGGCCACTAAGGAGGGACCATTGGCCATCTCCCGTACACAGGAATGAGGTGGGGCTCTCCTCGCGGGCGTGGGCCACACACACGCCCGTCGCCTGCTCGATACTCGTTACCTCCGACCCCGTGGGCGTGGTGGGGAAGTGCGTGAAGGCCTTGGTGATCTCCGGACATGTTATATAGTACACCTGCGGGAGGAGAAAGTAATTAATTAACGGGGAGACACTTAATACAGAGCAACACTTTATCGTAGTTATGAGTCAATAATTCTGAGTTATTATATGGACCAAATTACCTTGATTGTAACCTGAAACCTGACTGTACCCTCAAACTGTACCTGTAACACAAACTACTGACTGTAATTTACCCTCACCTGTACCCGTCTACCTCAAACACAGGCTACCAGATAACAACTAAACGCCCGCCTTCATTTATTATTCCCAGGCACAACTATCCTCTTCGCACAATTAATTATCCACATTATACACAATTAGTGACAATTAACTTATCATATAATTCATGCTTTAGGATGATAGATCTACGTATAATAGATGCAGAGAAAAAAAAATCATCCGAAGAGGTGATGATGATGAATGGATGATGGATACATTTTCATAATACAAAATAATGGTGGATAATGATGGATAACCCCGTAATAATGATGGGATAATGATGGATAACCCCGTAATAATGACGTAATTAGAAGACAACGACAATAACTAAAATGGCTGCTTTCGGCTACTTAATATTCCCGGTAATTATTATATATTTTTTTTTTCCTTAAGGGGAGGGAAGAGGCATTCAGTAGCAGGGGAGGGGGGGAGGGTCACGGAGGGGAAGGAGGAGAGGGAACCAACTGCGAACCTGTTTGACGATTTTACTGAAAAAAAAAATCTATCTAACGGAAAAGGAGGAAGAGGAATGACCCCCTAACCTAACCTAACCTAACCTAACCTAACCTAACCTAGAACCATAAATCACCCTGATAGAGACCCCAAGACACCTTACCTAACAAAGAACCTTTCATCACCCTTACTAAGATAGTCCCTAACACCCTACCTAACCCCTAATCACCCTGAAGAAGTCACCCACAGCCCTTACCTTGATGGCCAAGAGGGAGATGCAGGCGCCCTGGTCCCTGAAGGCAAAGTAGACGCCCTTCTTGGTCACAGGGATGGACCTGATCTCAGCATTGATGATGATGTCGGCGGAGTTGGTGAAGCGGCCTTCGTCAGCGGCGATGCGGTCTATCAGCTTGTAGCTCTCTGGCTCCCAGAAGGGCGGCTCCTTCGTGGCGGCGTCGAACTCGTAGTACAGGAGTGAGAAGGTCTCCTTGCCTGGTGGTGGAGGAGGTAGTGGTGAGGGGGAGAGGTGATGATGATGAAGGAAAGTAATGGTGGTGAAGGAGAGTAATGGTGGTGAAAGTGGTGAGGGAGGGTATTGGTGGTGAGGGAGAAAATAGTGGTGTTGTTAATGGTGGTGTGGTGACGGAGAATGGAAGTGGTAGTGAGGGAGAGGCAAGATTTCATTCTGGACAAACTTACTCATCGACAGTAACTATTGCATGATGACGATAACAGTGACAATAATGACAATGGCAGCAATACCAATAACAGTGTAAGAATAACAATGATGGCAGTCACAGTAGAGGGGGGGGGGTGACAGTGCCAACATCAACCTTATACAGTAGTAACTTACATGACAGGGCAGTGCCAGGGAAGAGAGAACAGTCCCTCATGGAGAACTTGACCTCTATGTACATGCGGTTGGCAGGTCCTCGCTCGATGAAGGGGGTCCACAGCCAGTTGTTGACGTTGTTATAGGCCACGTCACACACTACATACGACCGCCAGTTGATGCCATTCTCGAACTGGGTGAAGCTTTCCTCTACCCACTGAAACAGAGAAGGAAATTGTGTATTAGTTCAGGTCGAGTTGGGATGGATAATAATAATAATAATAATAATAATAATAATAATAATAATAATAATAATAAAAAACGCTGGTACTTTATGTTTAACGAAGGAAACTAACGAGGAAGCACTCATTTGATCAGCACAACACCCTACACCTTTTTCATAGTGCCAGTGCCATCTCCCCAGCACGGTAACATCACATAGGATACAATGGCACTCAGCTACACCTACTTCATCCAAGCGGTGCCATGCCAGGACCAGACGCAACCCTAGCACGCCTCCTTCTCCTCCTCCAGGGACGCCGCCCCCCCCCCCCACACACACATGCCGGGGAGTGCCAACAAGTGTCTCGTCATTAGTGCCGTAATGGACACTCTTAGTCATAAACACCCTCACCCTACACCCTCACCTTTCTTCACCCTCACCCTTCTTCACCCTACACCCTTCCTCACTCTACACTGTGTCCTTGGCGGTGTTCACTTAAAAACAAAAATGAAAAAAACGAACGAACGCACACACACACACACACACGCGCGTGCAAAGTAATACACATTAAAAAAACATTATGTATCCGCTATACACCGTCACCACCACCACCACCTTCACCATCACCACCAACACCAGAACTAAAAACCATATCCACCCCCACTAACACAACCACCATCACCATCCATTACCATTCCCATCGAAGCAAAGTAGTCGTCCAACACCATCACCATAACCACCACCATCACCACCACCATCACCATTAGCCCTGGTCAACGTCTAGGTGAGGGTCCCCTACAGGTAAAAATGTGGGTAGGTGATCTGGGGTCATAAAAAGATAGCCCTCTACCCTACTCTGGGGGGTCCTACCTGTGTTGGGGGTGGCGGAGGGAAGGGAGGGGTAGGAGGTGATGGGAGAAAGGAAGATAGGTAGAGTTGGAAAATGAGGAAGGGGTGAGGAAGGGGTGGGGAAGGGGTGGGGAAGGGGAAGGGGTACGGAGGCGTGGGGAGGGCGGGAGGGAGGGCGCGCCAAGGGGGAGGGCGGGGAGGGAGGGCGCGTGGGGAGGGAGGGCGCGCGGGGAGGGAGGGTGTGGGGGGGATGCTACTTAACTCCCGATTACCGAGGTGGCGGGGGAGGCGTGGCAGCCACAGATGGAGAGATGTGGCCCGCGCCCTTGTCAGTCAGTCTCTCTCTCTCTCTCTCTCTTTCGGTAATACTCATTCTCTCTCTTTCTCAAATACAAACAGCAAGAGAGAGAGAGAGAGAGAGAGAGAGAGAGAGAAATGCCTCAGTAAGCCCTGCAATAACTAGACCACAGACCAACTCCCCGGGTGGTCTAGCAACTCTGGGTGGAGGAAGAGGGCCACCCACTGTGATAACCCGCCCACTCGCCCACCCACCTACCCGCCCGCACGCACTCATCCAACCACCAGTCCCACAAAATCCCGCCCACTTCTCACAGTACTGATAATACAACCACCACCACTACCACCATCACCACTACCACCACCACTACCACCACTACCACCATCACCATTACCACCACCACTCCACCATAGCCATTATCACCACTACCACTACTACCACCACCACTACCACCATAACCATTATCACCACTACCACTACTACCACCACCATCACCACTACCACCACCACCATCACCACTACCACCACCACCATCACCACTACTGCCACCACCATCACCACTACCATCACCACCACTACCACCAGTCGGGGCAGTTATGATAGTAAGCTTTAAGATAATGAGACTGTCATGTTTAAGAAGACATCACCGATTCTTAAGTTAAATTTCCTACTTAACTGGGGAACACCTTTATCTGACTCACTTAAGATATGACAGAGTACCTTTAACTACCACTAGACAAAATGGCGACTAACATGCACTCAGACTTTACCTCTTAATCCCCAATTAGGAGCAAACATTAATATTGCTTAAACATCTTTCAGAATCCGGTTTGGTGTGGTAGAAGTTCAGTAGTTTAGTCAGTGTAACCAGTTCACTGGGGGTTACCAGTATGCCTGCACCCAGTCACCTAGCCTGTACTGGGGGTTACAGTATGCCTGTACACTGAGGGGGTTACCGGTATGCCTGCACCCAGTCACCTAGCCTGTACTGGGGGTTACTCGGTATGCCTGCACCCAGTCACCTAGCCTGTACTGGGGGAGGGTTGATTGGAATGGAATGGGGAGAGGTTTGAGGGAAGGCAGTGGGGGGGAGAGGTTGTGGGGCAGGGGGTGGGGAGAGGTTGAGGGAGTGGGGGGAGAGGTTGAGGAGTGGGGGAGAGGTTGAGGGAGTGGGGAGTGGGGGGAGAGGTTGGGGAGTGGGGGTGGGGGAGAGGTTGAGGAAGGCAGTGGGGGACAGGTTGAGGGGAGGGAGGGGGAGAGGTTGAGGGGGAAGGAAATGGGGGAGAGGTTGAGGGGAGGAAGTGGGCCTCGACACTACAGACACGAACTTCCTGACTGACCACACTGAGATGACAGGCTGGAGGAGGACCTGGGCTAGAGGAGGCCCCGAAAGCCAACCTCAGGTAAACGCCAGGTAGTGGTAGTGGTTGGTAGTGGTAGTGGTTGGTAGTGGTTGATGGTGATAGTGGTTAATGGTAGTAGTGGTTGGTAGTGGTTGATGGTGATAGTGGTTGATGGTGGTAGTGGTTGGTAGTGGTTGGTGGTTGGTAGTGGTTGGTGGTTGTAGTGGCATAGGTTGGTGGTGGTAGTGGTGGTTCACCTTGTAGGCTCTCTCTCTCTCTCTCTCTCTCTCTCACGCACAGGTGTTCACAGGAAAGACAGGTGTTCAATGTATTACTAAAGCAACTGAGGGTTGATTAGCTGCCCTAGGTGGTGATGAACTGAGAGGTGGAGAAAGCCGTATTACCTGCCCCGGCTCCTCCACACCTGACAAAGGTTAGTGCTATATGAAGACATACACCTAGCGCGCTCGCACACACACACACACACACACACACACACACACACACACACACACACACACACACACACACACACACACACACACTATGACTCTTATATAATCCTGTACTAATTAATAATACATAAAATATTTAGATAAGCATAAAAGAAAATTGTATTATATGAGGTTAAATAATGACGATGTTATTTTATTGTTTTTCTGTAGGATTTTGTTATATAAAAGTGAATTACAGAATGAGTTGAATCTGTTTATTTTTTTTCTATACACGCGATGAAAATATTATTATTAATATTGAATACGACCATTTTGTAATAGGCTTATCGACCACACCACAACAATAACCACCACAACTACAACCACAACCACCACAACTACAACCACAACCACCACAACTACAATCACAATCCTTAGACCAATATCCATCACCACAACAACTAATACCACCATTCCTACAACCACAACAACCACCACAACCAATATCACACCAACCACAAATACCATCACAACTAACACTACCATCATTACAACCACCACTACCACCACCACCACCACAACATAAGCCCCCTTGAAAAAACACAACCATGACAACCACATCCCTTCACAACCACATCCCAACCACCCATATATTAGCAGGAGACTGGTGTGACCTCTGACCTACCCTGGCCACACCTGAGGGCTGAGTTCACGAGTTACACGCAGTAGGTTGAGGGCCAAATGACCTTCCTCCCTCCTACTCCTCCTCTCCTTCTTCTTCTACTCCTCCTCCTCTTCTTTTCCTTACTCCTTCTTCTCTTCTCCTCTTCGTCCTACTCCCCCCCCCATCCCCTCCTCCTACTTCTTCGGCTATTCTCTTCCGCTTCCTTCCATTTCTTTCCCTTATATTCCTCTTCGTCCTACTCCTCCTCCCCTTCCCGTCTACTTCCCCCCTTCCTGTTATATCGTCAGTTGGGAGGGAAGAGGAGAAGGAGAAACGAAGGAGGAGGAGGAGGAGGAGGAGGAGGAGGAGGAGGAGGAGGGTGGCGTGCCCGTCTGCCATTAACTAACTCCCACCACAACCAATCGTGTGTGTGTGTGTGTGTTTGCACGATCATTTCACTGAGTTACATGTCTTTATTCTTTCCATGTTACAAGCAAGGGAAACTTATTGTTTGTTTGTTTGTTTGTTAAGATAAGTATTAGGAAAATGTTATCAGTTAAGGGAGAAAGAAAGAGTAAAACACTAAGTCACAAAAACAAGGACAACTTAGGAAGGGAAAAAACACAACACAACACAACGCAACACTACACAGCATAACTCAACACCAACACAACACAACTCCAACACAACATAAACACAACACAACCCCAACACAACACAAGGTAGAAAGTCCATCTCCATGTGCCTTGCGTCTCCTCCCGTTAACAACCTGCCATCACGTGTCTGTTTCATTCTGTTTCTCTTCCATTATTTACTGTTGCATCGGTGTCTCTTACGTTTATTTCCCCCTTGTTGTCTTGTCCCTTCCCCTTCTCCCCCTTCTGTCTTCCCACCCCTCCTCCTCCGTTTCCCCTCCCTGTCTTCCACTCCCTCCTCCCTCTGTTTCCCCTATCTTCCTTCTTCCTCCTCCTTCTCCTAACATGTTCTCGACCATAAAGGGGTGAAGGAGGCCAAGGACAGAGCAAGGATGGTTGATAAGGAACATGAAGACAGACTAAAAAAAAAACGGGTCATCGACGAAAAGCAATTCTCAGATCATCCTCAGATACAACCAACGAATAAAAAGGTCATTGGAAAGGGGAAATAAAAATGGGTGATAAGATAAAGAAATAGAAGAGAGAAAAGAAAACAGAGCCTGATAAACAGAAGAGAACGTGGGAAAGGCTATAAGAGGGTAGGTGACTGATGACGTGGGTGGACTGGTGTAGGATAAGGGTGGTGTAGGATAAGGGTGGTGTAGGATAAGGGTGGTGTAGGATAAGGGTGGTGTAGGATAAGGGTGGTGTAGGATAAGGGTGGTGTAGGATAAGGGTGGTGTGGTTAGGTTAGGTCGCTTGATCC